TATATATATATATATATATATATATATATATATATATATATGTCTCTGTGTGTGTGTCATTCGCAGATAGTACTGTTTTTCTGTATCACAGCTCCTCAGTGCGACTAGACAACCGAATGCCTCAGGCCCTGATCGAAATCCAACCGATTTGGTGTCAGTCAGAGCTCCTATCACTGAGTCATCTTAATCGACAGAATGAGCCAGCCAAATCTAGCGTATTGTTTTTACAAACGTAAAAATCGCCAAGCAGCCATAGTGCTCCATTCATTTTACGGAAGAGCTTCGCATTAACGCAGGTGGCCGTTGTTTTTAAAATTAGCTTGTCGTTCAACAGTTCTCGATTGAAAATATATTTTCAAGGGCTAAATCTATGTCATTCGCAGAATTTTTGTATATATATATATAGTTTGCGATGTGTAAATTCTGACAATTTGCTTTGTTTGTTTTTGATTTTGTCGGCTGCACAGTATAGTAGGGTTAACTGGGTACCATCTGTGAGAAAAGGTCACCATGATGCAATTCAATAGAAAACGGCATGCTGTACTGCTTGGCATTCGCGCCGGAAGATCCAATACGACCATTTTAGAGCGTTTCGGTGTCAGTCTTAAGACAGTGCTGATGAATCCGTAAATGGTGATTAAGAAATTATTTAGACTGATCACGTGTGATGGCGACGTTATGCTTTCATTCATCTACCCACAGCGACTCGGACTCAATACGGTGGCCTACATCATGTGCCTTGAGGAGGTGGGACTACCCTGGTTAAAGAGGATGGCTGCTGGAAGACCCTATGTCGTATAACAAGACTCTGCAACATAGCACACAAGCAGAACTCAGTCATGGCTGTCAGACAATTTTTACGACCATATGACTACTTACATCCCCGGACTGCAAATCCTTGGATTATTATGTGCAGGACGCGGTTTATTTTATGAAAACACCGATTTTGTTGTAAAATTTTTTGGTCTGATGATTTGTAATCGATCTGATTCCGTGAAATAAGGTATTACCGATGGATTTCTAAAGACTTCACTTTCATCATCATCATATATATGTATATATATATATATATATATAGCCGAGTTCAAATTCCAGTCGAATCCATTACATTCACTTACATGCTAAACTTGGGGAAAGGTATGAATCCTCTTCTTCTCCAACTATGCTGCAGGGTTCTATAGCATTGGATGGCAAGTGGTCTAGGAAAAGGACAACTCTGAATTCAAAATCGACGGAGGGTTGGTTGGGAACCTTGTGGCACGTAGTGCACCACGTCTCTGTATTCGGCCCTTCAAAAAGTGTGGTTGGTTCTGCACAAAACCTTCACCACTATAATCAAATCATATGTGCAGGTTGTCTGGCTGTCGGTTCCTAGAAACTGGGCTGCTTGACCCTCATACGCCGAGAGTGTATATATATATATATATATATATATATATATAGTAGATGCAATGGGTTAAATCCCACAAATATTTTAATATATCTTCTTTTTATACGTTATTTTTATGGATACAAATTATTTGAGTAAATGCTCTGTTTTAATTAAACACTATTAATTCCATTTATCGGTTTGAATTGTCGAGAAATTTCGTAGGCAATATGCATTCTCCAAGAGGAATCGAACCTGTATTACATGTGGAAACTGTCATATAGCCTGACGTTCTGTTAACCATTCGAATTATAAAAGTCCAAATTACTGGAAAGTTTTCTTTCTTTGGCAACAGAACTCTGCGCCACGCCACACAATCAGGAGAACCCAGTCATGGCTGGTCAGACAATTTCTGCGAACACTACACCCCTTATATCTGACCGCCTAACTCCCCAGACTACAACCCCCCTTCATTATTATGTGTGGGGTGAAGTTGAGCGAAAGACCAACAAAACCACTTGCAACATCAAAGATGAACTGAAGACAAGGATTATGGCAGAATTCACCAACTTAAACAAGGAGACCGTCCAGAAGAGTTGCAGGAGATTCCGAAGTCGGTCGGAGGCGGTGGTTGATGAAATTTAATCTTTAACTTATTAAGGGCTACAAGCAACAGGAAGATGTGGCGTGCCATGATCGCCTAAGAATCGTCATAAATTTTAAAGGAATTTAATTTATTCATTTGTTTATTTTGTTTTTTTTTAATTATCAGTTTTAGTTTATTTTATTTATTTTAGTTATATGAATGGATGCATTCCTAGATTTTGTGTTCGTCACACGGGGCGCATACTTTGCATTTAAAAAAAAAAAAATACCGTCGCCACCCGAGTCGGTGTCGCCCCGAGGTCGACGATCACCAACCTCTTCGCAACATCGGGTGATCAGGCATGATTCTTGTGTCAGTTTGTCGTTAATGTCTACCTACGTGGGTGGTGGCTAGTTGGAGGGTGTGAATGGCGGTGTTGGGGGCTGAAAATCCCTGGATTATTATGTGTAGGAGGCAGTTCAGCGAAAGACCAACAAAACTTATTGTAACATCAAAGATGAACTGAAGACAAGGATTATGGCAGCATTCACCAACTTAAACAAGGAGACCGTCCAGAAGAGTTGCAAGAGATTCCGAAGTCGGTCTGAGGCCGTGGTTGAAGCCAATGACGATTTTATTGAATCAATTTACTCTTTTCTACTTCAAGATATTTTTGTGTAATTTTGGTAAATATATCTGTTAAAACGAGATGTCAGTGTTATTTTCATTTTTGTGTCATTTAGATGACAATTTATCCATCGCACCCTGTATATACTAGTGCACCTAACTGATGGCAATTGTTAGAATGATTTAATAGTGAGATACAATCAAATAAAAGTATTGAAACAATGTATTAAGATTCAATAAAGAGGTGATAAAGAATTCATAACTAAAACAGAGGCCATTAAACAGTTTAATTAATCCATTCCCTTTATAGTTTTTTTTTTATTATAGATGTTTAATGGTATCTATGGTTTTCTGATAACTCCTGGTAATATCTAAATCATTTCACATTAAAAATTGTTTAATAGGGAGAGAACACACGATTTGATATGATCAAAGGTTTTGAACAAGGCCTGTATGCTCAAAGCCTCAGTCACAATGACTTGTAAGTTTATGACGGCATGCCAATGGGCAGCTTAAAAATAGTTCCACCTATAATTCCACTCACAAAGCTTGGGTCAACATGTCTTAAGATTTTCATGCACTTCCTATGTGTGCCACTCTCTGGGATCGTTTTTCACAGATCAATCTTATCTCACGACAAAAAATATATATATATATATATATATATATATATATATATATATATATATATATATATATATATACTTGGTGGCCTCTGACGATTGCATCCAGCATGAAACAGCCTGTCGCTTCTGAGTGTTGACTTCAATGTTCACTTTTTTATATATATATATATATATATATATATATATATATATATATATATATATATATATATATTATAAATTAATTGATTATAATTAATTGTCCAGAAGTGTTGCAGGAGATTCCAACGTCATCTGGAGGCCATGGTTGAAGCCAATAGCAATTTTATTAAATAAATTTAATCTTTAGTTTTTCAAGATATTTTTGTGTAATTTTGGTAAATATATCTGTTAAAATGAAATGTCAGTGTTATTTTCATTTTTGTGAAATTTAGACCCCAATTTATCCATAGCGTCGTGTATATATAGCTACGTATAAAATCAGTAAAATCGACCTTGCGAACCAAAATACTCCTCTGTGGCTCAATCGGTAAAAGCACGTCATGACGGTTGCGTGTAGGATACAGGTTCGATTCCTGTCGGAGGACGCATATTTTCTATGACAATTTCTCGGACATTCAGGCCGGTAAATGTCGTTAATACTGTTTATTATAAACAGAGCATTTACTTAAATATTTGTATCTATAAAAAGAATGTATAAACATAAAAAAGGTCTTAAAATAATTGCCGGACTTTGTCCATTTCATAATGTGTGACGTCATTTGTTTACATTTGGATATGCATCAAGCAGATATGAATATCCGTGAAAAAATTATGGAGAATTGTAATTTGAAAACAGTAAAATCGACCTTGCTACCCGAAATGCTACTCTGCGGCTCAATCGGTAAATGCACGTCAGGCTATATGACGGTTCCGTATAGGATACAGGTTCGATTCCTGTCGGAGGACGCATATTTTCTATGAAAATTTCTCGGCCATCAAGCTGGTAATGTTGTTAATACTGTTTATTATAAACAGAGCATTTACTTAAATATTTCTATCTATAAAAAGAATGTATAAACATAAAAATATCTTATATATATATATATATATATATATATATATATATATATATATATATATGTTTGTGTGTAGGTGAATGAAAAAAATCATGAAGAAACTGTCAGAAAGCAGCCGAAATTCCTCTCCACGTGAAAACAAGGTGCTCGAACCGGTTCAGCAAAAGCCTGAATGACCACAGGTCACTCAGGGGTCAACCAAACAATATCTGCAGACATCTCAGGTATTTCCCCCAATCAACGATCCGAGCCGACGCCCAGAATTTACTACGCGTTACACTTTGAAAGGAAGCATTCATGTTGCCTCCCAATCACACAGCTTTCCCGGCGTCGTATACAAAAGCAATAGAAATATGATTTGCGTTCTCGGGCGAGTTGCTCGGCGTTACTAGAGGCTTTAGTAAGTGAGTTCTAGAACCAATTGTATTTGGAGAGATGACACTAGGGACAAAGTGGCAATAGATCACTTCAGATACGCCAGCCCCCTACTCTCCTTCGTATTTTTTATTATCGTCATTTTTATTTACACTAGTATTATGTTCAGTGTCAAGTGACAACAAATCCTTTGAGCGTGCATGAATATTTATTAATACTTTGATATTAGCAATGCTTCCGTCTGGATCGTTTCATTTTTCTTCCAAGTCCGCCGGCAATGATGGGCTTAGTTGTTAAATAGTTACCAGAGGAGCACAGAACCTATAGAATCCAGTTTTTGAATTCAGAATTACCTTCTCCTAGACCGGTTGCCATCCAAGGCTATAGAAATCTATCTATCTATCTACCTATCTATCTCAAGGGTTTCATTACCTTCTATCTGTTTATCTATCTGTCACAGACTATCTATCTATCTATCTATCTATCTATCTATCTATCTATCTCAAGGTGTTCATTACCTTCTATCTATCTATCTATCTATCTATCTATCTATGTACGGTGTTCATTATCTATCTCAATCTGTTCATTATCTATCTATCTATCTATCTATCTATCTATCTATCTATCTCAAGGTGTTCATTATCTATCTATCTGTTTATCTATCGGTCACAGACTATCTATCTATCTATCTATCTATCTATCTATCTATCTATCTATCTATCTATCTCAAGGTGTTCATTATCTATCTATCTATCTATCTACCTATCTATCTCAAGGTGTTCATTACCTTCTATCTGTTTATCTATCTGTCACAGACTATCTATCTATCTATCTATCTATCTATCTATCTATCTATCTCAAGGTGTTCATTACCTTCTATCTATCTATCTATCTATCTATCTATCTATCTATCTATGTAAGGTGTTCATTATCTATCTACACACTTGTGCAAATTAATTGAAACAAAACGAATAATTCCGTTATTATTTACTTTTTTTCGTATTTTTCCAGTGAAACATGACCCAGTGCACATGTTAATACTCCGTATGTCCATTCCACGAAGTCTTTCCTTACAGATAAACCACAGATCCTCGATTGGATTTGAATCAGAAGAGATTCCAGGCCAGTCTATAGTACTCCCTATTATATGTATAGGTGACCAGTTCTGACTTAACACCCTATGACTTTTTTTCTTTGGCCCTGGTAAAGGAGAAAGTTTACTATACCAAACGAAAACTTTTTCAAAAACTTGAATGGCGATTACAGGAAGTTATGTCTTCCATACAACAAGAGTTCCTATAAAAATCAGTTGACGAGAACCTGGTAGCGAAAACTGGTACCCATATCGAATTTTAAATAAAACCTCATGCAAAAAGCTTTCCTCTCATATCCATTTCTTGTCAAAATTATAGTTAATAAATAAATTATAAGTATTTTAAAATGGAGGGGTACTTTTCAATCACCCTGAATAAAACAACGCGAGTCCTTAATTCCACTTGTCTCTTTTGGTGCCGGTATATTTGCGGGATCAATGAATTTAAATTAAGGGGATTATCTTTTGTGATATCTGTAGAATCCAGGGATTTCCTGCTTATCCAACTTTATTTTAAAAAACTATTTGAAAAAAAAAGTACAAAAAAAAGTGTAATCGATTTAGTCAGAAGATTGGATTTTTAAAAACTCAGCTTAGCACAAAAACATGACCTGATCGAGAGAAACGGATGTCATTTTCTGGTTCGGCGGTGGAAAATTGTCCTAAATCATTTGAAAAAAAACCATAGACAACTTAAATTTGATTTTATTTCCCAATGTAATTCCACACATCAAAACTTCCAACATTATGTTTAAGATCGAAGGAAGAATTTTATTTTCAGGAAAGGGAGATAATCTTACAAGGATTATCAGTTGTCATTGTAGTAATCTACAGGGTGATTAAAAATAAACCCATCTATTTTATGTATGAGTGGCCAGCCAGGAGTCCTGACTTTACACCCTATGATTTCTTTCTTTGGAGTTGGTTAAAGAAGCAAGTCTGTTATGCCAAGCTTTGGAAGAACTTGTTGGACGAATACAAGAAGTTATATCTTCCATAAGAGTTGCTGGTGAAATTAGTTGACGAAATTTCTGGGTGGCTCAAGAAGCTGGTAGCAAAATCTGGTACCCATATCGAATTTTAAATAAAACCTCATGCTAAAAGCTTTCCTCTAATATCCATTTCTTGTCAAAATTATAGTTTATAAATAAATCGTAAGTATAATAATCCGATAGGCCCGACAAAGTAAAAATAACGACTGTTGTTGAAAATGGCCTCTAGTCAATTCTTAATAGAGTATTTTGTCCTTTTATCAGCATGGCCGATGCTTACCACCATGAGATCGAATTATTTTGCTTTCTTACTCTGACGTTTTCCACTGAACTGACGTGGAGTGGAGAATCAGTTGATAGGTTCGCTTCTCACTAGAACCAATCTTGCAGGTTTATTAATCTACCATCCGTCAGCGAATTGCATATTACTGCCATATCTATTGTGGTACAACTGCTATGAGTTCAGTAGCTTCTCCACCCCCAATACATCTATCTTTTTTATAAATATTTTCATGGCAGTTGTAACGCATACCGGATCACATATTCTTCTCCCTCCAGCTATGGGTAAAATAGCAGGACAGACCGAGTTCTATAGCTTTGGATGCCAACTGGTCTACCGCAGAAAGAAATGGCAACGTACTGCTGGGAAAAAATCTGCCTCGTCAGTCATGTATCGAAAGATACATGATCGACTAAGCGTGTATCAGGCGCGGCATATAACTGACTGATATTCATTTACGTCCTAATACTCTTGGGAAAGGTAAGAATCTTTTTCTTCTCCCCCAGCTATGGGTAAAATAGCAGGAGAGCCCGAGTTCTATAGCCTTGGATGGCAACTGGTCTACCGCAGAAAGAAATGGCAACCTACTGCGGGGAAAAAATCTGCCTCGTCAGTCACGTCTCGAAAGATACATGATCGCCTCACCGTGTATCACGCATGTCACATAACTGATTGATATTCACTTAAGTGCTAATACACTGGGGAAAGTTTGAATCCTCTTGTTCTCCCCACAGCTATGGATAAAATATCTGGACAAACCTAGTTCTATAGCCTTGGATGGCAACTGGCCTACCGCAGAAAGAAATGGCAACCTACTGCGGGGAAAAATCTGCCTCGTCAGTCACGTATCGAAAGATACATGATCGCCTAAGCGTATATCACGCATGACACATAACTGACTGATATTCACATAAGTGCTAATACGCTGGGGAAAGTATGAATCCTCTTCTTCCCCCCCAGCTATGGATAAAATAGCTGGACAAACCGGGTTCTATAGCCTTGGATGGCAACTGGCCTACTGCAGAAAGAAATGGCAACCTAACGCAGGGAAGAATCTGCCTTGTTAATCATGTATCGAAAGATACATGATCGCCTAAGCGTATATCACGCATGACACATAACTGACTGATATTCACTTAAGTGCTAATACGCTGGGGAAGTATGAATCCTCTTCTCCCCCCCCCCCCAGCTATGGATAAAATAGCTGGACAAACCGGGTTCTATAGCCTTGGATGGCAACTGGCCTACCGCAGAAAAAATCTGCCTTGTTAATCATGTATCGAAAGATACATGATCGCCTAAGCTTGTATCACGCATGGCATATAACTGACTGACGTTCTTTGTCCTGACCAGACTCGACGTTGCTGAACATTGGCGATCGTACGGGAACCCATGTTTCAATGCGATATTGCCGCAAGCCTCCTACTTAGCAATGATGAAACAACCATGCAGATGGAATATTACGAGTGGTTCGTACAAGGGCGGGGATTTATAGAGCGATAAACACTCATTTGATCTATGTGGTCAGGTCAGGCGGCACACTGTGTATTACTGGCCGAAAAAATAATCAAAAGTGGTTGACAGAAGACCGTTTTCAAACTGGTCCATGAATTATGGTTGATGGCGGGAATTGCTGATGACAGATAAATTGGCTGGCAGTTTTCTTATAGTAATGAAACCAAAACAAACAAAAAACTAACGTCCTTATATTACAATCATTATTTGTCCCTTGATTAAATGACATTTCTTTGTCGGAAGGACGTAAAATGTGGTTTTAGGTAAGATGGCGTCACACCTTTTTTTTTACAAATATATATATATATATATATATAAAGAAATGGACAAAGTCCGACAATTTATTTATTAAAGACATTTTTATGTTTAACGTTCTTTTTTATCGATACAAGTATTTAAGTAAATGCTCGCTTTATAATAAACAGTATTAAATAACATTTACCGGCCTGAATGTCCGAGAAATTTTCATAGAAAATATTCGTCCTTTGACAGGATTCGAACCTGCATCCTATACGGAACCGTCATTTACGCTGACGTGCCTTACCGATCGGCCACAAAGGAGCGTTCGGTAGACAAGATACGCCAGAGCAGTTATGAATGTACGAGATTCATGGAAGATTGAAGTTTATAAGCAGTAAATTCGACCTTGTCTACCGAACGTAAATGACGGTTCCGTATAGGATGCAGGTTCGAATCCTGTCAAAGGACGAATATTTTCTATGAAAATTTCTCGGACATTCAGGTCGGTAAATGTTATTTAATACTGTTTATTATAAACAGAGCATTTACTTAAATACTTGTATCTATAAAAAAGAACGTTAAACATAAAAAATGTCTTTAATATATATATGTGTATATATATATATATATATATATATATATATGAAGAAAATATATGGAAAAACAAAAATGCAAATATGCTGTTTTAATGTTATTTCAGTGTCGACGTCAGACGTTTCGGTCTAGTAGACCTTCTTCAGGACATATTTATTAAAACATAATTAACATTAGACGATATTCAAGTCAACATGAAAAGACGATAGACATAAGGGTAAGAATAATCAATTTTTTTTTTTTTTTGTGACGTGATTCTTGCTGTGTGGGGTCGCGCATTGTCCTGATGAAACATCACCCCTTTTCCATTCACAAGAGCACGTCTTTTTTTCCTCAAAACTTGGTTCAAACGCTCTAATTGCTGACAGTATATTTGAGCATTAATTGTTGCATTAGGTGGTAAGAATTCAAAGTGGATTATTCCTTGGCGATCCCACCAGATTGAAAGAAGAACCTTTTGCCCATGAAGTTCCCTTCTCGGCTGTGGCTGGGGTCCTTCCCCTTTACCAAGCCACTGTCTACGATGCTTAACATTTCGATAAAAGATCCATTTTCGTCGCCAGTCACAAGTCTATCCAAAAAAGGTGAAACAAGTTGGCGAGAATGGAGAGAAGAGCAGATGTCAACTCGGGATTTGAGGTTGTTTTCAGACAATTCATGAGGCACCTATTTTCCAAGTTTAGCAACTTTTCCAAGTTGTTGAAGATGACGATGAACAGTTGTATGGTTTGAACTGAGAACCACTGCCAATTCCTCAACTGATAAAGCAGGATTTTCTACAAGGGCTGCTTCAAGAAGCTTTTCATCAAACTCAACTGGACGTCGGTTTGATCTTCATCTT